ACTTCTAAAGTTGAAGCGATGGTCTTGTGTATGGTGTCCCCTATGCAGATTATGTGTGTTTAGTGACTTTTGCTGGCTACCTGGATATACCAGTTACTCTTTTGAACTGTGGCGTGTCTCCATTTCTCTTATTATTCTTTGTTTTCAGTAGCTGTTCAGTCAGTCTGTTCTTTCTCAGGAGCAATTGTTCTGTTAATAGACGTAATCTGGCATGCTCTCTGGAGGAGGTGAGTTCAATCTTCCACATCACCATCTAGAACTGGAACCCCTCCTTTTAATTTTTTGAAGTGCCAAACTGTTGTCTATAGCAGCTGTTACATTTTATGTTCACACCTGCAACTTTTAAGTTGCAAGTTTTTACACATCTGGGCCAACATTTATTTTTGTCCTTTCAAAAAATAGCTATCATAAATATCTTATTGTGGTTTATTATTTCCCTAAAGACTTATGACATGAGGTTTGCACTTATTGTTGGTTATTTCTGTATCTTCTTTAGAATAAGTTTATTCAGAGACTATTATTTTTCATGGGAGAACATCAAGAAGCTGGATCATTAACAATGTTCTTGAACCAAGCTTTCCTGCCTTTCCATTCAGTCCTCCTCACTGCAAGTGGCAGACTAGATGATGTGCAGATATCTCCAGTTGGCTTCAGACTAATCTTTTATTTCAATGATTACTTATCAGTAATTAAGACATAAAACTTAAGGTTGCAGTGGAACATGACTGAGACACTACCTTTACACACCAGCGGGTTTGCTTCAACTCAATATTTATTGAATGCTTGCAATGTAAAGGTACTGTGCTGGGTACCAGGAAAGATAACAGAGCAACACCCCTAAAAAATAAAAATAAAATAATTAAATAAATAATAAATAATAAAATAAATAATAAAACAAAATAAAATAATAAATAAAAAATAAAATAATAAAAAATAAAATAATTCTCCCCCTTCATTCCTACTGTCTTACAATCTAGTTTTTAGAAGATGTGCATAAGGCAAAAATTGCCACTAGGAAAAGAATGGTAACAGTTGCATTAAAAAACAACATAAATTGTTTTAGTTTCACAAGCTTTTGGTCTTTTATAACTTTCGTACAGCCATTTCACTAGTCAGTGAAACTTCCTGGATTCAAATCTTTAGGAACAGGTTTTCATTAGAGTAACTTCAGTGTTAAAAAATGGTATGGTACTTTACCAGATAGAGCCTGTTCTTGCCTAGAACAGGAATAGTCTTTCAATGTGATGTTGGAAAAAAACCAACATTAAAAAATGTTGGAAGCACAATGCTTAAACCCTGTCTACTTTGAGCAAAGTAACGGAGATGTGCTACATTTTAAGAGAGCAATTTTATAAAACCCATTTGAATTACAACTTTGATGCTGCTACATTCTTCTTTTTGGTTTTTGTGATATGCCATGATACCTAAACCAGATTAGTGGCTACATGAGAAAGCTACTCTAATTCTTCTAGTTATACACCTTATTCCAGAACAAGCCTGGCCATTTACCTTTATTCAGTAGGTTTAGATTAAAAAAAAAAAAAAAACACAAAACAAAAACACACCAAAAAACATTTACTGGCTATTGCAAAACATTTAAAGAAAAGCATCTCACCCTAATGAGGCTATTCAAAAGAACACTTATTATAAGCTCTAAAGTCTGGAAACATTTTGAGCAACAATAGCCCTAAGTGAAGGATAATGTTCATTTGGATAGCAATGTTATATATTTAAGCATATACTATTTCATAGGCACACCTCATGCATTACCTCCCTATCTCAAGGCTGCCATTTCAATATTCTGTATATTGTTTATGTCAATATTCTAACAAACATGACTTCCTTTTCTGGATGTAGCTGTCATAGGTCATGTTTAGAATCTAAGCACCTTGTTTATTTTAATTTGAACTATAATCTGAATCTAGAACCTCACCATAAATTAGCTTGTGACTTTCTTGGACTATAGACTTAAATCTTCATCAAAATAAAAACCAAATGGCAAAAGGCAACATATTGGTTGATCCAAATGATGGCTATAAGAAACTAAAGAAACATGCATTTTCAAAAGTGGATGAATTATGGAAAGACAAAAAAAATTTTTAATAGTCTGAAGAAAATGTACTTTCCAATTCAAAATTATACTTGACATGGGATTCACAGAAATGACACTACACTGACTCTAAAAGTAAAATATATTTGATAAATCTGCATCAAAACTTAACATGCCTTATAGTTAAAAATCCTAGTGATATATTACAAAAAATCCAACAGTGGAACTAGAGCAGTTGATATGCATAGACATAATTAATTACAAGCCTTACTTCATGATGTAAAAGGCTGATTAAAAGATTTTAGACCATTCTGATTGAATAAAGTCATGAAATTTGAATTTTTCATATCCTAAGCTATCATCATATACATGCTTCTCTAAATAATGAAGCAATAGATCTTACCACAAATAAAGGCCTTAACATATAAACTTATATCTAGGTAAATATTGTAAGACACTTTTATATTAAAAATGACTCTAAGCATCTAGTACTACAGAAGGATAAAAAAATCTAATTCTGATGCCCCTGGTCCTATATAAGAGTAAGAACAAACATAAAACTTATAGAACAATTTGATGATTAAGATGAAAGTTTTTGTTTTTTTTTAATTTTATTTAGTTATTTGACAGAAAGAGATCACAAGTAGGCAGAGAGGCAGGCAGAGAGAGAGGAGGGAAGCAGTCTCCCTTATGAGCAGAGAGCCTGACGCGGGGCTCGATCCCAAAACCCCGGGATCATGACCCGAGCCGAAGGCAGAGGCTTTAACCTACTGAGCCACCCAGGTGCCCCTGAAAGTTCTATCTTAAAGCAACTTTAAAGTTTTCAACAAGGGTACCAAGGCCATTAAATGGGGGAAAAGAATAGTCTCAAATTTTAACAAATGGTACTGGGATGCCCATATAAGAAAGAATGAGGCTGGATCATTACCTCACACCATATACAAAATTTAACTTAAAATCAAAGGCCTAAATGCAAAAGCTAAAATCATAAACTGTTAAAAGAAAATATTTGCAGGGGCACCTGGGTGGCTCAGTGGGTTAAAGCCTCTGCCTTCGGCTAGGGTCACGATCCTGGGGTTTTGGGATTGAGCCCCGCATCGGGCTCTCTGCTCAGCAGGAAGCCTGCTTCCTCCTCTCTCTCTGCCTGCCTCTCTGCCTACTTGTGATCTCTGTCTGTCAAATAAATAAATAAAATCTTAAAAAAAAAAAAGAAAATATTTGCAAATGACTTGGGGGCATGGAGGGACCAATTAAGGGAAACAATATTCCAACAGGGCATTGGAGGGGGGAAACTTGTTTTAACCTAGAAATACATGAAGTAAGCAATTTACACATGTATCTGTTTCAGCGTAAATAACTGATTTAGGGTATGAATGAAAAATGAGTTTTGGGTTGAGCTTGCATTACATAACACTGGTTTGAAAACAGCCAATATTCCCCTTATATTAACAATTATTGATAACCAAAACTAAAATTGGATTTTATGTAGCAGGCAATAGAAAACTACAAGGATTCTAAATTAATTCTAATTATTAATATATGTAGTACTGATGTATGGTATTTAATAATCAAAAGCAGCAAAACTAAAAAAAACACAAAACAGCAAAACTGAAATTTAGTTTTAAGAGATGTAACAACAAATCCATTTTCTCTCACTTGTAATCCTAATCTTATCATCTGTATTGTTTGCAATCTTGGATTTAAGCAATATCCACAATCTTGTTTATTCATTAAAAAAATTAATGTGGTAAACATTATCACCCTATTAATGTGTAGTCTCCTAATTTTCTAAATATGAAATTAAGGCCCAGTAATTTGTTCAAGATCACATGGCTAATTAACACAAGATTCCAGACTTTAACTCCCAGTTTTTTGCTCTACCATACCAAAAATACTTCTGAGTTAATAAATATTTGCTTAAACCAAGAAATCATTAGGTACAATATTTAAGAGTTTAACTTAATAGAAATGTAAAATCTTGGCACATATATGATTGGAATTAAAACATTTATATATTGCAAATAAAATGCGATATAAAAATCAATGGCATTTACTGATTTCCAAATCTTAAATGTTTTATCAAACTCAGAGATAACCAATCAAAAGCTCAATTTAGCACTACTAAGTCTGGATACATCCAAACTTCGTTAAGTTGTATGAAATTTATTTATAGAAAATTATATAGACAGGAATTTCTAGGGTTAAATACCCGTCAGTCTTTAACAGCAGTTTTTTTTTTTTTTTAAAGATTTTATTTATTTGACAGAGAGAGATCACAAGTAGGCAGAGAGGCAGGCAGAGAGAGAGGAGGAAGCAGGCTCCCTGTCAAGCAGAGAGCCCGGTGCAGAACTCAATCCCAGGACCCTGAGATCATGACATAAGCCGAAGGCAGAGGCTTAACCTACTGAACCACTCAGGCACCCATAACAGCAGTTTTATATTATTTCTCAGAATATTTGAACTATTTTGAAAGAACTGGTAAATTTAGCAATACTGCTCACACTAAGATGACCATTCCATGCACAGCAAGATGTCTCTAAATGTATTTCTCTTTTAACATGAGCTGAATTTGTATTTCTTGGTATCAAGAAGACTTTAAAAGTAAGGAGACTGTCGTTTGTCAATTACATGAAAGATAACCAACCTAAAAATCATAAAGTAGTCTTAGTATAGAAACAAAATATTAACTGAATAAAACAGAATTTTGTGGTAATAGTTTATGTGTAGAAAAAAAAAAGGTTGGGCAGATTTGCCCATAATTTGGCAAGAAAACTAATTACCAAGTGTCAGAAAACTGTTTTCAATGCTATATAAAATGATCTCTTTGATTTAACCAAATAAAAATTCTTGCTATTGAATCATATGGCAAGATGTCCTGAAGCAAGTAGTTTCATGAATTCTCAGAATGAGAAAATTAAAGTTAAAAAGATCAAACACCAAGTGTTCATCAAACCTTTCAGTCAAGAGCCTTTATTAACATGCAAGTATCATTTGCCGCAAGATATACAGTTTTTCCTAATCTTTCAGTTCTATTTCAGTATTTTAAACTTAAGGCTACTTCTGGATCTCATACATAAAGTAACCTACTAAAATTGGTCAAAGTCAAATTTTATTCTAGTTGTCACTTTGACCTTTAAGATCATCATTTAGGTTTTTGACATTATTTGTCAGCAAGTAGCAGAATATAATTCTTGTACTTGATAATCTATACTAAAATATGTACCAGTATGTCTTGAGAAGTTACTAAAATATATGCAATTAACATATTTAATTGCTTTCAGTAAGCTGGAAAGTACAATGTTAGGTCCTCTATGAGGAAAAATTACTTTTCTAGATCGTGGTTGCTTATGTTCTTGGCAGGTTCCAGAAAAACTGGTCCATATTAAACCAGTCTCAAAGACCTAAACTGAAGGCTTAACTATGTATCTCCTATAATGACAGCATTATTGAACTACTAAGATAGAGATAATAATAAACCCTACTCCAGTGCTCCTTTTCCCATGCCTAAGCAGAGGTGCTCTGTCAAGTTTTTCAAATTTCTTGTGTGTTTAGTATAAAAGCTGAATGACCTAAGTCTGATTTAAGTAGAAGACCCACAGATTATGGGTATCATACTTATTGGGACATATTTTAATTAACAGAAGATAATTCATATACTATATCAAAGTGCATCATAAGATTTGCACTGCATCTCTCAATGTTTTAAAATTTTTTATAACATTTCAGTTGGTTGGAGGAAGACTGGAATAGTTCAGAAAAGTCTAGCTTCTAAGAGGTAAATAAAGTCTGTAATGAATCCTTTAAAACATATTTAAATAATCAAAAGTGCAGTCACAACAAGGGACTATGTAAGAATGAATATTGCGAAGGAAGCTTTATAGTCAGTGAAATACAGTACTTTGGATGGCCAAAATGCACAATGCACATGAAATCAGTCATGTAGTTTACTTGTTGACCATGTGGCTACAGTTCAAAAAGTGATTGCTCCAAAAGCTATTCCTAGTAATCTTCCAAAACTGCTTTTTTAAATAAAGTTCTTAAATTGTAGCAATAAACAAAAAGACAAGATACACTTAATACTGCAGTTTATCAAAAGACACATAAGAAATGTCAACTCTTATGTCTTTGACAATTATAAAAATCAATGTTCTGGCTAAGTTATAAACATGTTTATAATGCAATTATTTGCATATCTCTAGTAATGCTAACAACAGTTATAAGATCAGAATAGGTTTAAAAAAAAAACACTAAAAACACAAAAATACATAGCCCCATTATTTACCTGTAGAATGTGTTCATTTATGCTTAAATTTCAGTATTTACTATTTCACCACTGCTCTAATTTTAAAAATCACATCCAAAGGATAAGGCAAAACCACCTACGAATTGGCATATTTGTTTATTTCTCAATTTGTGAAAATGTCCTTAATTTGTTGATGTAGCAAACAAATTTCAACTCTGATTGCTATGCAAAAGAACAGGAGATAATCTGCTTTGCAATGAACTTTAAAGTTCAACTGCACACAGGCAACATGCTATATATGAAAAAATTACTAACTGAACTACAGGTATTAAATACTGAAAAAAGTTAACAGTTTATTATAATTTATTTTATTTAACAATCTAGGAAGTTCGCAGCCATCAGCAGTTCCAGTGCAATTTCAGGTGCAATTGGGAATTCAGGAATCTCTGTGGAGCTGTTAGTGTAGCGAACCTTGTAGGTAAAATACATGCATACTTTTGATAGCACATGTGAAGGGATCTCTCTAAAATTGACTTCATTAGTTTCGTTCTCAGCAAACTGACCTGTAAAAGAAAAGGAGTATGTTTGTTACAGGATGAATAAATTCACATGTTGGGAAGTCCTAACTCTCAGTACTTCCAAAAGTGACCATATTTGGAGATAGGCGCTTCCTCCTCCCTGCCCTTTATTTTCTGTTCAGAAAACATTTTAAAAAATACAGAATGCTTCACAAATTTGTGTATCATCCTTGCATAGGGGCAATACTAATCTTCTCTATATTATTCCAGTTTTAGTATAGATGCTGCTTAATGACTCATGGATGGGGTCTTTGAAGAGGTAATTAAGACAAAAAACAGGATTATTAGAATGAACCCTTATCTACTATGACTGGTATCCTTGTAAGAACAGGAGGTTAAGTCAAAGCCACACAGAGAGAAGACAGTGTGAAGAACACAGGGAAAAGTCAGCCATCAGAGCAAGAAAGAGAGGCCTCGGAAGAAACCCTACCAATACCCTGATCTCAAATTCCTACCTTTCAGAATTATGAGAAAGTAAACTTCTATTGTTTAAATCACTCAGTCCAAGGTACTTTGTTACAGCAGTCTTAGTAAACTAATACAATTTGAAAAGAATGAACTCAACTAGCATCAAAAGAAAGACGTAATTGATTTGAGTATAAATATAAAAAAAACCTTATTAAGATTGCAAATGAGATTAATCAAGACTGAATTTTAAAAATTCTAATTTTCTTCCAGGACTTTGGGCACTTTAGCTTTTCCTAAGAATCATGGTGGCATGATTAAGTGAGGGTGAACAGGATACAAAAAAAGACAAATCTTTTAGGAATTTCAGTTTAAGGAATTAAATCTTTATGGATCATTAGGAGCCCTGTGCTATATGGAGTTGCCATGTAAAAACATAATAAATGTAATACTATTTAAAAGCATTTTTTAAAAGATTTTACTTACAGAGATCACAAGTAGGCAGAGAGGCAGACAGAAAGAGAGGGGGAAGCAGGCTCCCTGCTGAGCAGAGAGCACGGATGTGGGACTCGATCCCAGGACCCTGGGATCATGACCTGAACCGAAGGCAGAGGCTTTAACCCACTGAGCCACCCAGGCGCCCCTAAAAGCATTTTCTTAAGAAAGCAAACATACTGTGTCCCCTTTTAGTTTTCAAAATTTTGATTATGTTAGTGAGAGCTCCTCATAAACTACTTCCCTTTTAGTAACACTTTATAAACTTTTTTAATGATCTCAAAATTTCTTTAGCTATATAGAGATTATAGCATTTAGCATTTACAGGAATAAAACAGTTTCTTAGCAGTCTAGGACTAGCATTGTGTAGTCAATATAAAAGGGAAAAAAATGCTTTCTGAGAATGTAGGTTTTTTTTTTTAAAGTTTTCTAATAACGGTCTACTGGTTGGGGGGTGGGGTGGGAAGAAAGGAGAGCAGGACTGAATGAAGAATTCATAGCAATGAGGTAAATTTTGGTTTGTCAATGACTAAAACTCTCTTTCTTGAATACGTGCATGAAATATTACCAACAAACAGTAAGCTTTTATTATTTTTAATTTTTAAAATTTATTTGAGGAAGAGAGAGATTTCAGAGGGAGAGGGAGAAGGAGACTTGCCACTGAGAAGAGAACCTGATGTGGGATCTCGATCCCAGGACTCTGAGATTATGACCTGAGCTGAAGGCAGACGCTTAACTGACTGAGCCATGCAGGTGCCCTGTAAGCTTTTGATATTAAATAAACATTAGGGGTTTTTGAGGTGAAATTCATATAACATAAAATTAATCATTTTAGAGTATACAATTCAGTGTACGTTCATGATACTGTGCAACCACCACTGCTATCCAGTTTCAAAACATTCTCATCATCCCAACATAAAACCCCATACCCTTTAAGCAGTTCCTGTCCATTTTCCCATCCCCAGCCTCTGGCAAATGCCAATCTTTCTGTCTCTATGGATTTATTCTGGATATTTTATACCAATGGAATCATATAAATGCAACCTTTTATATCTGGCTCCTTTCACTTATCATATTTTGAAGGTTGCATGTATCAGTACTTCATTCCTTTTTATGTAAGCATTAGTTTTGGGCTGCAGATAAACTAAAGGAGATCAAGCTTACAAAAAGCAAATATCTTTTAATTTTATTATTAACTAAAATTTATTGACATCCATGACCCTGGTTTTCTAAGTACATCCAAGCTCTATCCAGTATAGAAGTCCAAAAGTAATTCAACCTATGAGCAATGAGTACTGCTAGCAACCAAACTGGCGTTCCTAAGTACTATTTTCCACTACAAGAAAACAGCTCTTTGGAAAAATGTCTGTTTTCAGGATTAGAGAATAATTTTTTTTTAAAAATTTTATTTATTCATTTGACACAGATCAAAGGTAGGCAGAGAGACAGGCAGAGAGAGAGGAAGGGAAGCAGGCTCCCTGCTGAGCAGAGAGCCCGATGCGGGGCTCGATCCCAGGACCCTGGGATGACGACCTGAGCCGAAGGCAGAGGCTTTAACCCACTGAGCCACTCAGGTGCCCCAGAATTAGAGAATAATCTATCAAATGAGCTTGACAGAGGTGTATGGGTGGCTCTGACCATTTAGCAGCTGCCTTTGGCTCAGGTCATGATCCCAGAGTTCTGGGATGGAGCCCCATGTCAGGCTCCCTGCTCCACGGGGAGCCTGCTTTTTCCTCTCCCTCTGCCTGCTGCTCCACCTGCTTGTATTCTCTCTCTCTCTTTCAAATAAATAAAATCTTTAAAAAAAATAAAAAAACAACCAAAAAAATGAGCCTGAGAAATCTTGTTATTATAGAAAGTAGCACAGCTATCCAAGACTACCAGAGCCATGTCAAAAGGACACGAGAGCCAACCTGATATGGCTCCTTCTGGCATAAAAATGGAGCAAACGGTACAATTTGAGCACCAGTGAGAAGGACTGCACTAGATTAAAAAAAACATCAAATAATAAAAAGTCACAAGTTGAAAATGATACAAAAAAAATCCAAACAAAAACCAAAATACTCTTTGCTACTACAGGATGCTAAAGAATCATTCCATTATACTGAAAAATTATATGTAAAGGGAAAAAAAAAGCATTTATCTTTTCTTTGCTATACAGAGTTATATTTCAAGATAACCAAATAGTTCTTTATAATAAGAATTCTAACTAATAGGGGCGCCTGGGTGGCTCAGTGGGTTAAAGCCTCTGCCTTCGGCTCAGGTCATGATCCCAAGGTCCTGGGATCGAGCCCTGCATCAGGCTCTCTGCTCAGCGGGGAGCCTGCTTCCTCCTCTCTCTCTGCCTGCTTCTCTGCCTACTTGTGATCTCTCTGTCAAATAAATAAATAAAATCTTTAAAAAAAAAAAAAAAAAGAATTCTAACTAATAAATGCAGAAGAAATTATAAGAATTAGAAAAGCACTGTTTTGTAATTCCAAATGAAGTAAATCTCAGCAATAATTACAATGAACACTAAAAGCATTATATGGAAATCTGACTGCAGATTGTTCATAGATGAATCAGCTTGCTAACCCTGGAACTCACATATCAGTCTCAACATCACTAAAAGATTGAGACAACAGGAATACAGTGGTACCACCTATAAGTATTCTTGCCTAGAAAAATGAACTGGATTCTAATCAAGCCTCTAGAGTTGTAATTATAAGCTTACAAGATGAAATATTAAGTCTAATTTAGATGTGGACATTTTACAAATAACTGTGTTTCTCTATAAAATTCATGGTCTGAAAAAAAGGGAGAGTACAGGGGAACTATCATAGATTTTGCAAGTCAAATGACACTAGCAGGGAATAATCAGCCTGAAATACTCATAAAAAAATGATAATAGATGAAATAAGATTGGCAAAACATTGATAAAATTGAAGGTGGATGATGGGTATATGGAAATGTGTTATACTATTCTACTTTTGTGTGTGTTTTAAAATCTCCATAGTAAAAAATACAGACAAGGAATTACAAGTGACCTCAAATAAAAATAACCAACAAAACTAAAAGGCAACATATGGAATAGAAGATACTTGTAAATGACATACCTGACAAAGGTGAGTAACCAAAATATATAAAGGACTTATAAAACTCAACACCCAAAAAACTGAATAATCTAATTAAAAAATGGACAGAAGACATGAATACACATTTTCCCCAAGAGGACACAGATGGGGGCATCTGGGTGGCTCAGTAGGTTAAGCCTCTGCCTTTGGCTCAGGTCATGATACCAGGGTTTTGGATCAAGCCCTGTGTCAGGCTCTCTGCTCTGTGGGGAGCCTGCTTCCTCCTCTCTCTGCCTGCATCTCTGCCTACCTGTGATCTCTCTGTCAAATAAATAAATAAAAATCTTAAAAAAAAAAAAAAGACACAGATGGACAACAGACACATGAAAAGATACTCTCTCTCTCATTATAAGGGAAATGCAAATCAAAACTATGATGAAGTATCACATCTGTCAGAATGGCTAAATTCTGGGTGGCTCAGTCAGTTAAGCATCTGCCTTCAGCTCAGGTCACGATCTTAGGGTCCTGAGATCAAGCCCCCACTGGGCTCTCTGCTCAGCGGGGAGCTTGCATGTCCCTCTACCTCTGCCTTCCGTTCTGCTTATTTGTGCTCACATACTCCCTCTCTCCCTAATAATAATAAAAAAAAAAGAATGGCTAAAGTCAACAACATAAACAACAGGTGTTGGCAAGGATGTGGAGAAAGGGGACTCCTCTTGCACTGTTGGTGGGAACGCAAACTGGTGCAGCCACTCTGGAAAACAGTATGGAGGTTCCTCAAAAAGTTAAAAATAGAACTACCTTATGATCCAGCAATTGCACTACTATGTTTTTACCCAAAGAATACAAAAATACCAATTCAAAGGGATACATGCACCCCGATATTTAGAGCAACATTATTTGCCATAGCCAAACTATGGAAAGAGTCCAAGTATCCAACAACTAATAAATGGATAAAGATGTGGTATGTGGTGTGTATTCGTGTATGTGTACACACACACACACACACACACACACACACACACACACAAACTGGACTATTACTCAGCCATAAAAAATTAAATCCTGCCATCTGCAACAACATGGATGAAGTTGGAGTATTATGCTAAGCAAAATAAGTTAGAGAAAGAAAATACCATACTATCACTCTTGTATGGAATTTAAGAAAAAAACCAAACGAGCAAAGGGGTGGAAAGTAGAGAGGCAAAGCAAGAAACAGACTCTTAATTTCAGAGAACAAACTGATGGTGACTAGAAGGGAGGTGGGTGGGCGGATGGGTTAAACAGGTGATGGGAACTAGGGCATGTACTTGTGATGAGCACTAGGTGTTGTATGGAAGCACTGAATCACTGTATTGTACACCTGAAACTAGTATTACGCTGTACAGTAACTAATTTGAATTTAAATCAAAACTAAAAAAAAAAAAAAACAAAACCCCAAAACAAACAAGCGACCTCAAATAGCCAAAAACAATCTTGAAAAAGTAAAATAAAATTAGAGGCCTCACACTTCCCCATTTCACAGCTTATTCCAAAGCTATAGTAATTGAAATACTGTGGCATTAGCACAAGAATAGATCAATGGAATGGGGCACCTGATTGGCTCAGTGGGTAGAGCATGCAACTCTTGATGTCAGGGTTTTGAGTTCAAGCCCCACACTAAGTGTAGAGATTACTTAAAAAAAAAAAAAAAAAAAAGACTCTCAATGCAAGAGAGTTGAGAACCCATAAATAAACCCATATAGCTATGGTTAACTTATTTTCAACAAGGTGCCAAGACCCTTAAATGGGGGAAAGAATAGTCTCTTTAACAAATGATACTGGGAAGCCCATGTAAGAGGGAATGAGGCTGAGTCATTACCTCACACCATATACAAAAATTAACTTAAAATCAAAGACCTAAATCTAACAGCTTAAATCACAGAACTGGGGAAGCCTGGGTGGCTGAGTTGGTTAAGGTCTGCCTCTGGCTCATGGCATGATCCCAGGGTCCTGGGACTGAGCTCCACATAGGGCTTCTTGCTCAGTAGGGAGCCTGCTTCTCCCTCTCCCTCTGCCTGCTGCTCCCCCTGCCTATGCTCCCTCTGTCAAATAAATAGGTAAAATCTTTAAAAATAAATAAAATCATAGAACTGTTATAAGAAAATATTTGCAAATGATCTCTGATAAGGGGTTAGGGTCCAGAATTTATGAAAAACTCTATGACTCAGTAACAAAAAGACTTACAACGGAACTGAAAAATATTTAACAGGTTTGAATAAACATTTCTCCAAAGATGATATGCAAATATATAGCAAACACCAGAAGCGATGTTCAGCATATCCCTAGCAAGTCCTTAGGGAAATGTTAATCCAAAATACAATAAAGAGTGCCTGGATGGTTCAGTCAGTTAGGCATCTGACTCTTGGTTTCCGCTCAGGTCATGATCTCAGGGTCTTGAGACTGAGCCCTGCATTGGGCTCCATGCATAGGGGGGAGCCTACTTGAGATTCTCTCTCTTCCTTTCCCTCTGCCCCTTCCCTTGCTCATGTTCTCTCTTAAATAAATCAATCTTGAAACAAAATACTAGGAGAGAGGTGCCTGGGTGGCTCAGTGGGTTAAGCCTCTGCCTTCAGCTCAGGTCATGATCTCAGGGTCCTGGGATCAAGCCCTGCATCAGGCTCTCTGCTTAGCAAGGAGCCTGCTTTGCCCTCCTCCCCCTCTGTCTGCCTCTTTGCCTACTTGTGATCTCTCTCCCTCTGTCAAATAAATAAATAAATAAAAATCTGAAGGAAAAAAATAAAAAAACCAGGAGAAACCACTTCACACCTGTTTGGATGGCTAGAATAAAAAAATAGGAACATAAATGTCAGTGAAAATGTGGAGAAACTAGAATACTCATACAATGGTGGTAGGAATGTAAGATGGTGCATCTACTGTGCATTTTGCTAGTTCCTTCAAAAGCTGAACACAGTATTGTTCATGCTCTAGAAAATCCCAAGCCTCAAAAAAAAAATTTCTTTGAGGTAAAAAAAAAAATTATCTTAAAGGAACAAAGAAAGAAAGAAAGAGAATGTTAAGAATAGACGTTTGGGAAGTGGTAACTTCTAAAAAAATAAACTGTATATGTAATTATGAGCACAAATCACCAATAGTGTCCTCCTGTGGTGAGGAAATTAACGATGGTAACTAGCGTAGGGAAAAGAGCCTTTCCTAGGAGGGTAAATGACTGAAAACAGGAACTGGCAGAAATCAATTTTTCCAAAGCAACATAATCATGCAATAATGTCAGAACAGTTATTGTCTCATTTAATGTTGTGAGTCACTTAATTCAAGTAAAAACACATTAATAGTGAAGATTTATTAACAGAAAATAAAGAAATGTACCTACCTGGGCCACTCAACATGGCTTTTATTGTTCCAGATGTTAGTGCATGTTCTCTTTTTACAATAAATTCATGACCATCCGAAGATATCAATTTGACATACATGGCATCAGGGCCTTCACACCCACCATAGGTTTTCTCTTCTCCATCTAAAGTAAATGATTTTTCAATCACAGAATTAAAAACAAACAGGTTTACCAAGGTTAGTATTTGACTAACTCAAAAGAGAAACATTTCTGGATGGTAACATCTACCAAGATTTTAAGATTTTTTAACTCTTTGTTTTATTATTACCTGAACATTTTCCAATGTCAGAATAAATTACATTCAAGGATGTTACTTTGGATAAAAATTTACCAATATTCTTCAAGAAAGTATTAACAATTTTTTTTTCTTTTTGTGAACAGAGCAACATGTCCAAATTTGAAAGCTTAAACAAATTTTCAAATAGTAAAACTTTAAATTAAATCATGGGGAATACTCATGTTTAACATAAGATGCATTGTGTGCATTTATGAAAGAATGTTTGTAGGTCATATGATTTCAACTTCTCTGACAAAGCTCCTAATTCTTAAAGTTAGGGCTTCTCTTTAATCAGAATCTTTACTCTTGATCCATAAAAAAAATGATCAAAAGCTTTTATTACTGATTTTAAATTATTACATGACTGAAGTAAGGAATATAGACAAATACCAGTCTTTGAAATTCAAAGTAGAGGTGAGGAGATAGTGTAGATGTTACTCTACTGCCAGCTACCCTCACTGCCACCACGCTAGCTTCAGCCATAGTAGCTAGCTCAATATAACTTTTTTGGGAATATGTATTTTTTGTATATCCTTTTAAGAGGTTTCTAACACCTATAACTTTCACAGAAAATTTTAATTTTTATGATTACAAATATCTGAAAGAAAGTATCTTAAGGCTTATTCTAAAAAATTTAGGAAGCCCTAACAAAAGAAGTACAGAGGATAAAGATATTCAAGCTACAAAGATCCATTTATTTATTCATTTTTTAATAGTTAATTTAAAAATCCCTCAAATTAAGATTAATAAATATAAAAATCATTTATGTACTACTGCTGCCCAAAATGTCTCATCTGAATCTAATCTGGAGTAAACATTCAGATAAATCTAAATTTTAAAGTGTCATGAAAGACTTCACTCCTCATGCCCCCATAAGTAGGGAAGTACTTAAAAGAGACTAAAGAAACAAATTCACACAGTAAGTGATCCTTGATTGGATCCTGGATATAAAACACTGGGATACCTTGGAGATACTCAGTTCTAGACCACACAATAAAGCAACTAACTCAAAGATGTGTCAAATGAATTTTCCAGTTTCCCAGTGGATATAAAAAAGTTATGTTTACAGCATACTATATTAAGTGTGCAGTATCATTATGTCTAAAACAAAAATGTTTATACCTTAATTTAAAAATACTTTATTGCTGGGGTGCCTGGGTGGCTCAGTGGGTTAAAGCCTCTGCCTTTGGCTCAGGTCATGATCCCAGGGTCCTAGGATCAGCATCCTAGGATTGAGCTCATTGGGCTCTCTGCTCAGCAGGGAGCCTGCTTCCTCCTCTCTCTCTGCCTGCCTCTCTGCCTACTTGTGATCTCTTATTGTCAAAAAATAAATCTAACTGTAAAAAAAACTTCTTTATTGCTAAAAAATGCTAACCACTGTCTGAGTTTTCAGTGAGTAGTAATCTTTTTGCCAGTGGAGGGTCCTGCCTTGATGTTGATGGTCACTGAATGATCAGGGATGTGGTTGCCGAAGGCTAGGGTGGGTGTGGCAATTTCTTAAAATAAGACAAAAGTGAAGTCTGCTGCATCAATTAACTCTTTTAGGAACGATTTCTCTGTGGCATGTGATGCTGTTTGACAGCATTTGATCCACAGAACCTCTTCAAAATCTGAGTAAATCCTCTCGAACCCTGCCATTGCTTTATCGACTAAGTTAATATTCTAATTCCTTTGTTGTCATTTCAACAGTCATCACAGCATCTTTACTAGTAGATTCCACCTCAAGAAACCACCTTCTTTGCTCTTCCATTCGATGCAACTCATCCATTCGAGTTTGACCATGAAGCTGCAGCAATTCAGTTCTATCTTCAGGCTCCACTCCTGATTCTAGTTGTTGCTGTTTCTACCACATCTGCAGTTACTTCCTCCACTGAAGTCCTGAACCCCTCAGAGTCATCCATGAGGGCTGGAATCAACTCCTTCCACGATCCTGTTGATATGTTGACCTCTTTCCATGAATCACATGTATTCTTTTTTTTTTTTTAAAGATTTTATTTTTATTTATTTGACAGAGATACAGTGAGAGAAGGAACGCAGGCAGTGGGAGTGGGAGAGGGAGAAGCAGGTTCCCCACCCAGCAGGGAGCCTGATGGCTTGATCCCAGGAATGACCTGAGCTGAAGGCAGAAGCTTAAGGACTGAGCCATCCAGGCACCCCAGGTTCATATGTATTCTTAATGGCATCTAAAACGGATGAATCTTTTCCCGGTTTTCAGTTTACTTTGCCCAGATGCAGCAGAAGAATCACCAACTGTGGCAGCTATACCTTACGAGATAGATTGCTTAAGTAATAAGAGTAGGCTTAAAATATTCAGTAAACCATGCTGTAAACAGATGTGCTATCATCCAGGCTTTGTTGTTCCATTTATAAAGCACAGGCAGAGTAGATTTAACATAATTCTGGGCTCTAGAATTTTTGGAATGGTCAGTGAGCACTGGCTTCTACTGAAAATCACCAGCTGCATTAGTCCCTGACAAGAGTCAGCCTGTCCTCTGAAGATGTGAAGCCAGGGACTGAATTTTCTCTCTAGCTGTGGAAGTTCCAGATGGCATCTTTTTCCAATACGAGGTGTTCCATCTCCATTGACGATCTGCTGTTTAGCGTAGCCACCCTCATTAATTACCTTAGCTGGATCTGGGAAACTTGCTGTAGATTCTGCATCAGCACTTGGCTGCTTTACTTTCAGTTTTATGTCAGAGACAGTTTTTGTCCTTAAACCTCATGAGCCAGCTTTTGCTAGCTTCAGACTTTTCTTTTACAGCTTCCTCAACCTCTCTCAGCCTTCACAGAATTGAAGAGTCAGGGCCTTGCTATGGATTAGGCTTTGGTTTAAGGAACTGTTGTGGCTGCTTTGATCTTCTATACAGACCACTCAGACTTTCTCCATCAGTGATAACTCTGTTTTACTTTTTTATTATTCACCTGTCCACCAGAGTAGCACTTTTTATTTCCTTCAAGAACTTTTCTTTTGCATTCACGCCTTGGCCAACTGTTTGGCACAAACGGCATAGCCTTCAGCCTGTCTCAGCTTTTGACATGCTTTCCTCACTAAGTTTAACCATCTCTTGCTTTTGACTGAAAGTGAGAGAAGTATTTCACTTGAATACTTAAAGGCCATTAATTAGCCTACTAATTTATTAATTAACCTAATTTCAATTTTCCTGTCTTAGAGAATAGGGTGGTCTGAAGAGATAAGGGAAGACCTGGCTGGTGCAGCAGTCAGAACACATACAGCATGTATTGATTAAGTTCCCCATCTCTGTGGGCACGGTTCATGGGATGTCACAACAACTACTATAGTAACATCAAAGATCACTGACCACCATAACAAATATAATAATAGTGGAAAAGTGAAATATTGTGAGAATTACCAAAATGTGAGAGACATGAAATGAGCAACTGCTGTTGGAAAAATGGCACCAATAGATGTGGTCCACACAGGGTGGCCACAAACCTTCAATTTGTAAAAAAAAAAAACAAAAAACACCACGCAGTATCTTCAAAATGCAATATGAAGCACAATAAAACAAGGTATGTCTATAACATACTTGCTATAAAGAACACTACTGACACAACTGGGAAATTCTGAATATGGACCTAATTATGAGAAGCCTACTCCAGTATTTAGGTGTGAAGTGATATGGTACAGAAAAATATGCATGTGTGTGTATATGGGTATATAAATATAACACACACAAGGAAAGCAAATGTGGCAAAGCATTAGCAATCACTGAAGGCTGCACAGTTTATCATTTCTGCAATTTTTCATAATAAAAAGCTGGGAGACTCATAAGGATGCAAGTAACTTGTAAATTATAGACTACTCAAGCATACAAATATTTAGCAGGTTTTGCCCATCTCTTAGAAAATAAAAACAATTTTCAATTAAATTTATAATTCTTGCATTTTTGGCAAGAATTTAAAGCACTTTTTATGTTTGTTGGGAAAGTTTCTAATTTAAGTTGCTATTACTTACTAGGAATCACAAATTATACTTGGCACAAAATATTACTTATCTGCCTTTCAAAAATAAATACAGGCATACCTTTATTGTGCTTTGTTTTATTGTGTGTCTGCACTTTCTACAAACTGAAGGTATGTGGCAACCCTGCACTGAACAAGTCTGTTGGTGCCACTTTCTTTTCTTTCTTTCTTTTTTTTTTTAAGATTTTATTTATTTGTCAGAGAGAGAGGGAGAGAGAGCGAGCACAGGCAGACAGAATGGCAGGCAGAGGCAGAGGGAGAAGCAGGCTCCCTGCCGAGCAAGGAGCCCGATGTGGGACCTGATCCCAGGACGCTGGGATCATGACCTGAGCCGAAGGCAGCTGCTTAACCAACTGAGCCACCCAGGCGTCCCTGTTGGTGCCACTTTCCAACAGCACTTCTCACTTCGTGTCTGTGTCATGTTTTTGTATTTCTTGCAATACTTCAAACTCTTCAATACTGTTTCTGTTATGGTGATCTGTGATCAGTGATGACTCACTAAAAGCTCAGATGATTAGCATTTTTTGGCAATAAAGTTAAATAAAATAAATAAAATAAAAATTAAATAAATTTAAATAAAAATTTAATTATGGTACTATATATCTATTTTTACACATAATGCTACTACACTATAGCACAGTGTAAACCTAATTTTTACAAACAGGAAACCAAAAAATTCATTTGACTTGCTTTATTGCTGTGGCCTGGAATCAAACCCACAGTATTGCTGAGTATGCCTGTGGTAAACAAATGCTGTGGATTTAACTAATTTTAATCTACTCTGATCATTTTTTTACTTGCATTCACCAATGTAAAAGGTCTATCTTTGAGGAAAAAAAACCCAGCTTCTACTAGTTTAAATATAAAATTACTTTATACAACTTACCCATTATGTTCTTATGAAATTCTACTTTACTTCCACAGGAACTTTGGTAGTTTCCTGAAAATATAACAATGCTATTTTAAGATTAATCCTGGAGTAATATGTTTTCACCCATTACTATTTAACGTCCTTGGTATTACAAATTCAAGGACTCTCTCTGCTATGCAAGAGTTTCCCAGCCACCATAATATGGAACAGTATCAAGTTTCTGAACATCTGAGAAAAGATGATCACCTTCAGAGTAGTAGTCTAAACACAGATTTGGTTTTTTCCCCACTTTAAGGTAACTATTGTGAAAATTATTAAAAAATACAGATGTTCCTTAAGAGTTGAACTGAACTTGAAGGAGACTGCTGGCCTTAATCATCTGTTTGTATCCTTATATCTACTAGATACTAGTGGAAACTAAAGCACATATTTGCTGAATGAATGACAATATGATAAATCCAAGGACATGATGTAGCCTTCATAAAAGGGCTCGCCCTCGTCTTATGTAAGTGTGGCATTTATAATACATTTCACTGGGCCATCCTTGCTGCAAAAGGCTATCAAAGTTCTGAAATTTAACAGCAAAGTGGTAGCAAATCTTTTCTATTTTAAGAAATCTTAAAAGTTTTTAGAAGTTTTTATTTATTTGAGAGAGAGAGAGAGAGAGCACAAGCGGGGAGGAGGATCCAGAGGAAGAGAGTATAGGAGACTCCCCACTGAGCAGGGAGCCCAGTGTGGGGCTCAATACCAGGACCCTGAAATCATGACCTGAGTTGAAGGTAGATGCTTAACTTAATGAACCACCCAGGTATCCCGAGAAATCTTAAATCTTACAAAATAAGATGAATGCTAAAGAGAAAGGGCTCATGTTGAGTAGTTTTAATTTTCATATCATTTCTTCAAGGAGCATTTCACTTAAACCAATATATTTATGATATTAACAGGAAAACATCCTGTTCTGTGAGAAATTCCCTAACCAGAATTTTATTCTAGCCTTAAAGGAAGGGCCAAGAAAATGAACCATAACATTTTAGAGCAGGAAAGAAACCTGGAGATAAACTATGTAATCCCTCATCTTAAAGATGGTAGCATCACTGATGTATACGGGGGCTGAATGATTTGTTCCAGGTAATGACAGAGTGAAAGTAGGAATCAAATCTATTAGGGGAATAGATTTGGAGGGGAATATTTAAAGTGCCATATCTAATAGGACGTCAGGGCAACAGCGGCAATGTTACATCATTACCAACAATTTGAGGGGCTAATGAGTGGTAAACATCGCCTTACATGACTTACATACATTATTTTAAAATAACACACAAGGGAATTATTATTCCCACTTTAGAGGTGAAGAAACACTAAGAGGTTGCCATTTGCTTAAAGCTTCTACAGCTTAAGTGGCAGCATAACGATTTAAAGCTAGTTGGTTTGCTTTAGAGCAAACACCACTTTCCATTATTCCATACTACCATGGTAAACAATTCTGGCTCCCATTAAAACTTTTCTACTACTGTTAAGAGCTGCTCACATAAATCCTTAGATACTTATCTAAAATTTAAACAGTACTGCGTCACTTTGTAAGAAGAATAATAACAATTCATTGATCATAATTTATTCTGTTCACTGCTTTGTAATCTTTCTTCTAAAAAAAATGAAAAAGGAAAAAAAGTGCTAGAAGAACTTCGAGCGCCAAGTTTCTATCTGGAAAATCTCTAGAGCAAAACATCTAGGATGTTTATTTAACCAGCAGTAGCTAAGCTACCATGCAAAGTCACATCTTAGAAGCCCTCTGGGTAGCAACAGCTTCTCTACAGACTTCTTAATATAGTAAATCAATCTCACCATTTATACAACAAAGGTGGAGAAGGGACTCGCCGTCACTAATAAGAAAACAGTAAATTAACATTAACAGTTAAAAGTAAATCCTAATTCTTATGTAGAAGTTAAAAATATTTAAAATATGATTAAATCTGGATTACCTATAGACATCCAAGTTTGGGGTTAGAAAAATCCCAGTGTAAGCATTTGATCTCTTCTATACCTGAGGTCTGGAAATTTGAATTAGTAGGTAGAGGCAGTGTTTGAACAGTAAGCTGAAAATAGTTCTAGGCAGAAGATAAAGCATGAACAAAAGTCCTCAGATGTTATTATGCTTTTATAGTGTTATATATGAACATTACTCTTTTAGAGTTTTTTATTTTTTAGTAACAAATAGAAATTCTAGATGAGCCTAGCAGCTACACTGAAATCAGTTTTGAATCTACTATCACTGAACACTGAAAAGATCTTTGAACAGTCCATCCTTTGAATCTGAAATGCTACCATTATCATTTACTATATTATCACAGGAATTTCTAGACTATATTCTGTCTCACTAATCTTTTTATATCTGACCAAAATATCCACTATTTTCACTATAACAGTGTGATAAACATATTTGCTAAATATCTCATGTTTTGCTAAAGTCTCATTTTATCATTACACATTTCCTGTTTGGTGGACTTTTTGGTACTTTACAGTTTTTATTATGAATGCCCTCTGTTTTCCTATTACACTTTCTGAAAGATTATTGCTGGTGTTTTAAAAAAAAGCTTTTAAATCCATTAAAAGTTGATTTTGTATCCCATCATCTTTGCAGAACTCTCTTATTAGTACTAACAGTTTTTCAATTGATTTGCTTGGATTATTAAGCAGATGATAGCAACAGCTGCAAATCTATTCTTGTTATCTTTCTTTTACATGGCTATTTACTTAGAAAAAGTAATAAGGTTAGGTGTCTGACATTACTCACAAAAGTATGCTACGGATTAAAGAACCAAATATAGAAAAATAGAAGAAAAAATGCAAATAACTCATAGACCTGTACAAAAATGCTTGATCCCAACAGTAATCATGGAACATGCAAACTAAAACATTAAACTGTGCTAAGAATCAAGTGTTGGAGGAGAGGGAAAAGGGAAATACTAAATAAATAGCACAACAGTTTTTGGAGGGCAACAGCAGAATCATCAGAAGGCTAGTGATTATTGGTATCTACTTTAAAGAAACACTAGCCCTGTGTGCAAAGGCAAGTAGAAGGATACGAACTATAATAGTATACAAATGAAAAACTGAAAATACGCTAAAAAAGTTAATCAATTAGGGAACGAGCTAAATAGAAATAGTGTCTATAATTATTAATATTTACTAGGAGTGGTGAAAAGGAAAAAATTAAATCTATGGGTGTAACAACATGGAATTACCACCAGGATAAAGTTAATTTTTTAAAAAGCAGATTAGAATGATAGGTATAGTTTGGTGTTATTTATGTAAGATAAGTGGTTTCTTGCCTATTAATCATATTTTCTGCAGAATACATAAAATGCACCAAAATACATGTTTGAAAATGTAAATTATTAGAAAACTATTTTTTTTTCGAAAACTGTGATTTTAAATTAGATTTTACTTATATATTTACTTATGAAAGATTTTTATTTATTTGACAGAGAGAGACACAGTGAGAGAGGGAATACAAGCAGGGGAGTGGGAGAGGGAGAATCAGGCTTCCCGTGGAGCAGGGAACAAGATGTGGGGTCTGATCCCAGGACCCTGGGATCATGACCTGAGCCGAAGGCAGACGCTTAACGAATGAGCCACCCAGGCGCCCCTATTTATTTATTTTTAAAGATTTTATATGAAAGAGAGCAAGTGAGCGAACACAAGTGAGGGGGAGGGACAGAAAAAGAGGGAGAAACAGACTTGCAGCTGAGCAGAGAGCCCCACAACAGGGCTCAATGACCTGAGCCAAAGGCAGACACTTGACTGAGCCGCCCAGGTATCCCTAAATTTTTTTTTTTTTTTTTAAAGATTTTATTTAAATTGTCAGAGAGAGAGACAGAGACAGAGCGCAAGCAAGGGGAGCAGCAGTCAGAGGGAGAAGCAGGGTACTTCTTACCGATGTGGGACTTGATCCTAGGACCTGGCCGAAGGCAGATGGTTAACCCAATGAGCCACCCAGGCATCCCCCTAAATTTGATTTTTAAACAAAAACAAATAGGGACACCTGGCTGGCTCAGTTAGAAAAGCATGTGACTCTTGATCTCTGGGTTGTGAGTCTGAGCCCCATGTTTGGTGTAGTGATTACTTACATAAATAAATATTTAAAAAAGGGGGGCACTTGGGTGGCTGTCAGGTGTGATCTTGGGATCGAGCCCTGCATGGGGCTCTGTGCTTGGGATTCTCTCTCCCCCACACCCCCCTCCCCCAACTCACTCTTGTGAGCAGCTGCGTGCTCTCTCTCTCTCTAAATAAATCTTTTTTTTAAAGACCATTATGAATTTTTTTTTCTTTAAAGATTTTATTTATTTACTTATTTGACAGAAAGGCTTGGTGGGGGGAGAGACAGCACAATCAGGCTGAGCAGCAGGGAGAGGGAGAAGCAGGCTCCCTGCTGAGCAGACAGCCCCATGGGGCTTTATCTCATAACCCTGGGATTGTGACCTAAGTAGAAGGCAGGCACTTAACCAACTGAGACACCTAGGTGCTCCATAAATAAAATCTTAAAAACAAAACAAAACAACAAGAAGTATAATAGAACCAAGCAGCTCATAAGGGAACAATGGTCAGCCTGATGATTAGTTCTTAACTCTGTAAAAACCAGGATTAATTTGGAAAACAAAGTAATACAAATGGCCAGAAGTTAGAAGGTAATTCCAGTTTGTCAGAAGACATCAAACTATCCTGCCCAGAATGTCCTTATAGTGTCACTGGATTTATGGCTATCAAGAGGAGTTAAAATTCTCATTCTGGCCTCCTTTAACACAATAATATCCCTATATTTAGTTCTTGTGTAAGCAGTCTTAATACTTTTAGCAAATGGTACCCCTCCCCCATTTTTCCTCCATTGTGGAATTCATAGTTTTTTTCACTATTAGATGTAAATGCTTGTAAGTTTCTCTTTTTAGATATATTTTGTCTTGCTTACTAGCTTGATGTTTCCACAAGGCAAGGAGGTCCTTTCTCTTTGTGACCAAGATAATCAATACAATGGTAATTATGTGGTAATGTTAACAATGTGAAGCTTCATAGAA